AAAGCCAGCTCAGGCAGAAGATTCCATGAGACTCTTATACCCAATTAACCACCAAAAAAACAACAACAAAATAGGAGTAAAGCTGTGACTCAAATGGTAAGCACAAAAGCTCAGGGACAGTGTCCAGGCCCTGAGTTCAAGCCCCAGGACCAACCAAGGGGAAAAAAAAAAAGGAATCAGCCATTATAAAAATTATGTATACATATATTTTAATACATTTTATTGTTATTGTGAAGGTGATGTACAGAGGGTTTACAGTTACATAAGTCAGGCAAAGAGTACATTTCTTTTTGAACAATTTCACCTCTTTCCCTCCCATCCCCACCCACAAGTTGTATAGTTCCTTTTTTTTTTTTTTTTTTGGTAGTGAGGCCTGAACTCTGGGCCTGGGCGCTGTCCCTCAGCTCTTCAGCTCAAGGCGAGCGCTCTACCACTCGAGCCACAGCGCCACTTCCAACTTTTTTCTTTTTGCTTATGTGGTGCTGAGGAATCGAACCCAGGGCCTCACGCATGCAAGGCAAGCGCTCTACCACTGAGCCACCTTCCCAGCCCATATAGTTCATTTTTGACATCGTCTAATGAGTACCACTGCTGCATTTGCTCACCCTTTGTCCCATCATTTCTGGGCCTCTCCCCGCTCACCCTCCTAAAGACAGAGAAATGGACAAACAAGATGAAAAGGAAAGAAAACAAAAACAGTAACAAAGGAGAAAAAAAAAAAACCCTTTTGTTTCCATTTCCTGGACTTCATTTCGACAAATATTACTGCATGGGATCAGATGCCTTTGTGTTCCTCTGCTAAGAATACCCTCCTTGGGTCTCACTGTGTGTGAATGCCTAGAGACCCGTGTAATTTATCATTTGTGGTAGCTAGAATGTGCCTATAAATCTCCAACTAAACACACTGGATGGCAAAAAAAATACACAGGCATCTGAGACGTTGAGACACGCACACACATATACATACATATATGTGTGTGTATATAATTGTTTTCCATTGTAGAAAATTATCTTGCATGTACTGTATTTAGTGGATGGTTATTTGCATCATGCCAGTCTTTCTACTAAACTGTACAAGGACAGGGCCTTGCGTCTCTCTTCGTGTCGCATTCTACTCTGCATCTGGTTCAGTGGACGCTTCTGGAAGAATGCAGGCCTGCGGGTGGGCGCAGCCGCCGAGTCTTCAAGCTGCTCAGCACCCTTTGATATCTCCCTGCATCCGGCCGGCCCACAGCCTAGGAGGCCATCAGCCCGTTGCCACCAGCCCTCACGCTGACTTGGCCACTGACTTTCTGGCATGCATTCACACGGATGAACGCAGAAGAGACAGCACTGGCATCGTCTTGAGTCGGGACGGCAGGTACTTGTTTCTCGTTGGGCTGCAAACCGTCCTGTAACCTCTTTGAGCTTCAGATCGGATGTGTTGGGCGAGGGGAGAGGGCGTTGAAGCGGCGTGTGGATGACCCGCAGTGCCGCCCATCTCACCACGAGTCTGTGGATGTTCTACACGCATCCCCGTCCCCTTTGATCCTCACAGGAGAGACAGCCCTGAGGCCTGAGCCGGGGCGACCGAGAGCCGCTGACTCCACCTCTCCACACAGGACCCAGCCGGAGCCATGTGGACCCAGCTCTTCCTTCAACCCACAGCACACACGTTTGAGGGGTAGGGGTCACACGGATGGGGAGCTGTGGAAGTTGAGGAGGCCCACGAGGGCGGCGGTGCCCAGATCAGGGTCTGCGGGGCACGGTCACGCGAGTCCTGCAGTCTCTCCTGCGGCGTCCCCTCCATCCCCTCCCGCATCATCACTCTTGCTGCGGTTCCGCACTCTCCAGGCGGCGGCAGACGCTCATCAAGGGGGAGATGGGCTAAGAATAGCTTTTATCTTCTCCAAGCCACTGGTTAATATTGTCCCCCATCTCCACAATCTAATCAGAATACTTGCTGATTTGAAAGCTGGGGTAATAACAATAAGAGCCCTAGTTATTAGCAGGCGGCTTAGAAAGCGGACCAGCCCAGATAGTCTATTTTCTCTTCCACATGAGAAGTTTGGAGATTGCTCAGATCGGCCAGATATTACTGGGCGGGTGGGAAGAGGAGGTGGAGCTGGAATCAAGAAAGCCCACAGAGAGTTATCAATGGTCTGTGTGTGTGTGTGTGTGCACGTGTGTGCGTGTGTGTGTGCTGGTGGGGGCTCAGAATGAGATGAGTGGAAGATGTGGAAAGAATCTAGAAGTGGAAGAATCGGAGACATAGCTGAAAGATTGGGGGGGGGAGGGCTGGGAGTAAAAACAATCCCCCCACACCCCGACCCATTTGTAGTGATCTCGTGATTCACCTAAGAAATTAACACCCAGCATTGATAACCCACAGAGCAACTTTTGGCAGATCCCGTTGCCCAGCTTCATGGAGGACAGGAGTGAGTTCAGGTAGAGTGACTTGTGCAAAGATACCAAGGTGATAAAGGGTAGAATCAGAATTCCAATAGTTCTGTCCTCCAGTTGCTTGTGTGTGTGTGTTAGAGAGACAGAGAGAGAGAGAGAGAGAGTTTAATTACAGGGCACATTTGGCTCTCTCCCCTCTCCCCAAGCTTCTCTTTCTCCTTCCAGTCCGTCTAGATCTCTACTCAGTCTCACGGCATTCAGCACAATCTTGTAAGCTGACAACTCAAAAATTTCATCTTTCTAGTCTAGACCTCCCACATGAGATGCAGACTTGCAATTTTCATTTGCCTATTTGTCATTTCCACTTGGATATCTAGCAGGCAGCTTACACTTCACACTCCCAGTGCTTTAAAAAAAAAACAAAAAAACAACTCTCTTGATTTCACTCCCAAATCTTTCCCCACTGCTGGGACCAGCGCCGCCGCCTTCCTAGCTCAGGACACAGCAGAGCCATTCCTATAGCCTCGTAATACCTACCACATGGTTCTAGTCTTGCTCGCTCCTCTCGCTCGCTTGCTCGCTCGCTCTATCCCCATTTCCCACCCAGAGTGTTGAAACAATTGTGATTCCTCTAGTTCCACTTTACCCTTAGAATAAAACCCTAACCCATGTCATTTAACCTCTGCCTGAGTTCGGTCCCTTCTCTCCACAGCTACCCGGCCATCATTCTACTCTCTGAACCTTCTCCAGATCTTTGACCTTCACACAGCCTTCATTGCGTCTTCTGAGACTCCTCTCGCTTCCTCCACCAAGTCTTCCTCATCGATATCCTCCGAAAACTCAAAGGAAACATCACCTCCTCCGGGAACCTCCGTGGAAGAATCCAGTCTGCGGTGTGCAAGACATTTCTGTAGGCTGTTTTCATCTTGGCTTCCTTTTAGCTTGAGTAACCGCCTGTCCCTCAACTGTTCAGTACCTCATGGAAGTAGGCTGCTTTCGCTCTCTTTCGTGAGAAAAAACCAAGCGAATAGCACATCCATGTAATGTTTCCAGATCACAGAGCAACAATGGAGAACCAGGATTTGAACCCAAAGCATCCCGACTCAGAACAGTAACCTATTCCCTGCACGTATTGCTTTAAAGCCACAGCATGTCTGCACCATGCTGGGTGCACAGTAGATGTTTAGTCTCAGGCAATGTGGATTGCTTTCCTCCTGCCTTTCATTCACTAGCTTGTGGCTTGACTGTGCACATCACCCCGGCCTCCTCTGCCTCAGCCATCCCTCCTGCACTGGTCTTTTTACCAGCTAACTGTGCTCTACAGATCATCTCTCAGGCTTTTGGTTTCTTCTGTCTTTGTGTGTTTGTATTCGAAGTTTCTTTTGAGTGTCTTCCTCTGTTTCTTAAGTAATTCTGATCTCTTTGTCTGGAGCTTATTTGGATATATATATATATATATATATATATATATATATATATATATATATATATATATATTCTGCCTTTTATCTCTTTGGACAGAGGCATTTCGGTCCTCCACAGCACTGAAACAATCCCTTTGAAGCTCGGCTCCCACTAGATGAAGGTCCTTGTGCCCCAAGTAGCTAAATTGAGCCGGAGAGAATGACAAACACACAGGCCATTACCGCACAGTATGGGAAAAGGACAATTAGGAGCTGGCGACCTAGCAGGCAGAGTGTCGGAATGTCCCAAGGCACAGCCCGTCGAAAGCGTTAGAGTCTCCACAAAATGTTCCTCTGCTTTATCTGTTGCCCACATCCTGAATGCCTGTCGGGCCAGTTAGAGATAATATATGTGCTAGTCTGGGTTATTCTAGATTTAATGATCTCAGGACAGAAAACCTGAAGCATAGTTCCTGCCTAAGGAGCAAGAGAGAGGAATCTTACCCTCAGCTAGCCAGGGCTTTGATTTTTACTGGATAATGAGCCACTCCTCTCTTTTTGCCTTTTGCCTTGTCTTTCCCTTTCTCCTTCTTCCTTCTCTCTTCCTCCTCCTTCCTCTTCCTCCTTTCCTTCTTCTGTCTTCTTCCTCTTCTTCTCCTCCTCTTCCTCTTCTTCTCTCTTCCTCCTCTCTTCCCTCCCCTCATTGATATTTATTGAACTCCTCTTATAGATCAAACACCATACTAGGTTTGGGAACAGTCCCCGAATCTTGTGTCCTGGCCCTTCTGGAACTTTCAATCAAAAGGGTCAAACCCCAATAATTTCACTAGTCAGCACAGACCCGCAGACTTCGGAAGGAAACAGCATGGTTTATGGGGTGGAGAAGAGAAAAAAAAAAACAAACAGATTCAGACTAGGAGATCAGGCAAAGTCGTTTATATCTCTTTAGATTTATTACACAAAATGTGTTTAGAGTTATTAACAGTATTATTAGTTTATATCAAAGGAACATGGAGTCTTTGTTATACTGTATTTATCATACATAGAAGCGTGGTACGTATATTGTCTGCTTCTCTAGACTGTCTGTCCAACACATTGTAAGCTTGGCTGGAGGGAGTTTCTGTTTCGGCAGTACCGGGGATTGAACTTGGGGCTAAGCTGGTGCTCTACCACATGAGCCACACTGTCAGTCCCTTTTTGGGTTGGTTATTTGTCTAAGTGTTAGGTTTTGTGTAACCTGACTGAACCCCGTTACCTCACTCTGTCCCACCGGAGGCGTGAGTTATATCTTGGCTCAGCCTTTCCACTCTGTGTACATTGCCCGTCCTGTCCTTACTCAGTACCCACCAGCACCTAGGGAAAGGGCCTTTTCCCAGGCAAAGCACTGCTAGCCGTGGACAGGAGTTCCAGGCAAGGCGTCTTGGAGCTGAAGAATGAAGGGGGTTCCCAGGCCCACCCAGTCTCCACTCAGGTCAGGGAGCTCTGAGCGACAGTGTGGCCCATCCCTGCCAGCAACACGGCCCGGGGTGCCTGAACCTCCATCCTCCAGGCTTCTAGGTGCAGATCCCCAGTTACAAGGTCTCACCTAGAATCTGAGTGTGCTACATTGCTTTTATTTGTTGGTGTTGGTGTTGGTGGTCATGGGGCTTGAACTCGGCTTGGGCGCTGTCCCTCAGCTCTTCAGCTCAAGGTGAGCACTCTACCGCTTGAGCCACAGCAGCACTTCCAGGTTTTTTTCTAGTGGTTTATTGGAGATTAGAGTCTCTCAGACTTTCCTGCCCGGGTTGACTATGAACTGGGATCCTCAAATCTCAGCCTCCTGACTAGCTAGGATTACAGGCGTGAGCCACCGGTGCCCAGCTACTCGACTTTTTTTTTTTTTTTTAATATCCCCAAGGCTTTACTTTCCCCAGGTTCTATCACTTGTAATACTCCTTCTCTAATCAAGAGGAGATACCTGAGTAAGGCTCCAAGGCTCACACCTGTAATCCTAAACTAATCAGGAGGCTAAGATCTAGAGGATTGTGGCTCGAGGCCAGCCTAGGCCAAAAAAAAAAAAAATCCACTAGATCCCATATCAATGAATAAAAATCTCTGTATGATACTGCATCTTACCAGAGTCCAAAGTATTTTCCAAATATCAGATCATTTAATTTTCCAAACAATCCTAACAAATAAGGAGCCATTCACTAATTTTTTTCCCAGATAAGGACTCTGAAGCATGGAAGTCAAGCCTGCCCAGTTAGTCAGAGCAGCACTGGGTGTTTGAATCAGGTGGGCTGATTTCCAGGATGGTTCTCGTTATACCGGTAATTTTCTCAAGTGAGAAATGCAGCTTTGAAATTGGAGCTATAATGCGATCCAATTTTTATTTTTGAAGCACATATATAATTTCTTTGTGTGTGTGTATGTATACATGGAAATGAACAGAAAAACCAAGTCTGGAGAAATGAACAGTGATATTTTCACAGTAGTAATTCTGAGCAGAGCGGCTGCATCAGCTTTTACTTCCTTCTTTCTACCTCTGAAAAAAAAAATTGCTGGTTTATTTTTTACATGGAGTGTGAGGGTTGTTATTTTTATAAGTAGAAAAAGCAGTAAATAAAGATGATTTCCACTTTGGGAGAAGCAAATACAAAATAGGAGGCTTGTCTCGAAATGAGCCCAAGGCTAACGGGCCTCTCTCAGTCTGGGGGTGTCGGGGTGTCGGGGCGTCCTGGGGTCGGGGAAGGAGAGTTCTCAAATGCTAACCCCCTCCTCCATCCATAGAGACACAGATTGTATATTCCAAGCTTCTCCTGGGCCTCCAACGAGGCTCTACAGAGAAATAACAATACCTTTCTCGGGTGCTAATTTAAATAGAGCTTTCACCTGTCTGCACCTGACTTCCGTGGCAGGTAGAAATTAATTACCATCTGTCTCAGGCTGCTCAGGTTGCTGCACAGAGCAAGGTAGACTGGGTGGATGGTGGACAATAGAAATTCATCTCTCACTGTTCTGGAGGCTTCAGAGTCATCTGAGATCCCGAAGGATCCCAAAGGATCCCGAAGGGGTGTGTGTGTGTGGGGGGGGGGGACCCATTCCTGATTTCCAGAATGCTTCTTGTCAGGATGCTAATATTATGGGTCTATCTGTACGACCTATTTATCCTTAATGAATACCCCAGGGCCCATTCCCCAGTGGGGGTAGGGGGAGCCTAGGGCATCTCCAGAGGATCCTGAGGAGATCAAGTTCAGTCCACTCATCATCTCTAGGCGAGTGGGAAGTGGATGTCCATCTCTGGCCTCGGGTCACTGCAGCTGCAAGTTCCATCTCTGCTCCCTGTATTCGAAGCTTTCCAGCTCCTTGTACATCTTGGAGAATGGTTTTTGTTTCTTGTCGGTTGTGGGGTTTGAACTCAGGGCCAGGGCGCTGTCCCTGAGCTGTTCTGCTTAAGGTGAGTACTCTACCACTTTGAGCCACGGCACCACTTCCCGTTTTCTGGTGGGTCATTGGAGATAAGGGTCTCACAGACTTTCCTGTCTGGGCTGGCTTTGAAACAGGATCCTCAGATCTCAGCCTCCTGAGTGGCTAGGATGGATGACAGGTATGAGCCACTGGTTTCCAGCTTGGAGAATGTTTCAAGGGGACATTTTTAAAGGATTATTATCTTTAAGTAGTTGTACAAAGGGATTTCAATGGCACGTACCAGTTTATGTGTACAAGGCATCTTGATCATGTCGTTTCTTCCACTGTTTTCCACCCCCTCCATCCTACCCCACCCCACCGGCCCCTCCAATTACCAGGTGCCATTTTCACAGGTGGGCATTAAGTCTTAGGTCTGTGTTCACCCAGGATTCTTTTCTCCAGATACATAAATAAGCATAGTTTATACTGCTTTGATTTAGTGCAATGAAACGTATCTGATGATTTCATTGTGGTTTGTTGGGGAGATGCATCTTAAGCGTTGGAGACAGATGCGGGTGTAATCTTGGACGCTCATCCTCTGCCTCGAGCACATTGCTTTCCCTCCTTGACAGCCAGTGTTACTCGTCTGTGACATGGACACAGAGTTGAGCGTCTCTGTGGGCAGCTGGGAGGGTGCAATAAGACCATCAAAATGGCATTGGCAGGGACCATGAGAGCACTTGACACACTCCAGCCACAGCAGTTCTCCTGTTCAACTCGGAGCTTTACTGCTCCAACTGATCAACTGGCAAAATGCATGGCTAGTGGCCTGGCTCTGGTGGTAGAGCACCTGCCTATCAAAGTTCAAATCATAACACACTCCCATACACAAATATAATTGGAAAAAAACACTCCTCCAACCCTTAGGAAGTGTGGCAGCTGGCATTGGCCGGCAGAAGAATCAGGGAACCTGCAGGTCCAGTTGCTGCATGACTTGAGCTCATTAGGGCTTTGTCTTTTGTTTTTCTGGTCCTGGGACTTGAACTCAGGGCCTGGGCGCTGTCCCTGAGCCTGTCTGTGCTCAAGGCTAGTAGTGTTTTACCACTGGAGCCACAGCACCACTCTCTTTTTCTGAGTAGTTTATTAGAGGTAAGAGTCTACAGACTTTTCTTGCCCAGGCTGGCTTTGAACCCTGATCCTCAGATCTCAGCCTCCCGAGTAGCTAGGATGACAGTTGTGAGCCACCAATGCCTGGCTCAGGCTTTGTCTGAAAGACTGCTTTTGCACAGGGCATGTGACTCAGGCCAATTTCTCAACCCCAAAACTCTGCTCCCCCTTATAAATGGGAGCACCCCGAGGAAGCATCACAAAGTTCAGATGTATCCATTCACAGGCTAGTCCATGATTTGTTCATGTGTCTCCTCTCCCATTCTTACTGTTTCTTTGTGGGTTTTTTTTAATCCCCCAATTAAACTTCCTATTACTATGATAAAAGGAAAAGTATGACCATTTTTTATAGTCACAAATGTCCTAGGGGGAAGATATTCCTTTCTAAAGAGTACAATGAAAATAAAGCAGCGCTGTTTAAAATCTGTCTGAGGAATGCTCCCACCGCAGGCTGTTAAGGCTGAGGTTTGCTTTTTGTGTTTAAAAAAGACACCCAATTATCCAACAGGTAGACAAGCGGTAAAGTATCAGCAGCAGGTGGTGGCTGTCTTCCAACTTCACAGCGGCTGGGGAGAGGGTCAAGGAAGACAAGAAAGGTATGGGCTTCCTTGGTCCCAAACTCCAAGCTGTGAAAGGTTCCTATGAGCAGAAAAAAAACCCAAAAAACAGCTAAGTCCTGTTATGGAGAAAAATGGTGGCTGTAGTTGGCGTGGGTGGGGGCTCGTGGATATGAGTTAGACTGATAGAAGGTTCTAGTTCTTTTTATTTCACTGTTAGCATCTTTACTTATTTTGTGTATTTGAACCATTATCCAGTGATTATTGAGGATGGGACCTGTTATTGTAGCAGTAAAAATGTTTTCTTTTTTTAAAAAAATGTTTTGTAAAGATGCTGTACAGAGGGGTTACAGTTAATGTTCTATGTGATTTTTTTTTTGTTTCCTTTGTATGTTCTTCCCCCTGCGATGTATCCCCTGTGATCACTGTATTTGATTTTGGTTCCCTGCATCTTGTGTATACACTTATCTGATTTGGGGAGGGGAAAGGGAATAACAAAACGCTGAAACAAGGACACAGGATGCCCCATCAAACAATGATACTCACAAGACACTATGCTGGAAATGAACTGGACAACTTCAGTGGGGAGGGGGAGGGAGGGGAGGGAGGAGGGGAGGGAGGGGATAGCAGGAGGAAAAACAAAGGACTGGGTAACAATGCTTGGCAGTTTTTAGTTCTCTTGCTCCTTCCTGGCATTTTCCTGAGAGTGGACAGACACCCTTCCTTCCTGATTGATTGATTGATTGATTGATTGCAGAAATGCCGTGTGGAGGCTGTAGGGAGTCCCCATTGTTGGGGCCATCTTAGGGAGAGAGAATGTTGGCATGGGTTGGTTAAGTCCTGAGACTGTGGGTCTCAACACGGTCCACCCCAGAGCCTGGTCCCCCACTGAAGACACAACCTGTGCTTCATTAAAAAGCAGCACAATGGGGCTGGGAAGGTGGCTCAGTGGTAGAGTGCTTGCCTTGCATGCCTGAGGCCCTGGGTTCGATTCCTCAGCACCACATAAGCAGAAAAAATAAAGCCGGAAGCGGCACTGTGGCTCAAGTGGTAGAGCGCTAGCCTTGAGCTGAAAAGCTGAGGGACAGTGCCCAGGCCCAGAGTTCAGGCCCCATGAACGGACCCCCCCCAAAAAAAAACAAAAGCAGCACCCATGATGGGTGTCCTGGGTAACCATGGACTTGTACAAGAGAACTAGAAAATACAATGGGTTGATCATCACAACTGTTAAAAAAAAAATCAAAGAATGGATTCCAAGACCACTGGATTGAGGAAGCTTTTTCTGAAGTCATTAGACAGCCATAAAGAAATAAGGAAGCTAGGTGCTGGTGGCTCACGTCTGTAATATAGCTACTCAGGAGGCTGAGATCCAAAGATCACAGCTTGAAGGCAGCCCAGGCAGGAAAGTCTGTGAGACTCTTATCTCCAATTATTCTCTAGAAAACTGGAAGTAATGCTGTGGCTCAAAGTGGTAGAGCGTTAGCCTTGAGCATAAAGAAGCTCAGGGGCAGCGCCCAGGCCCTAAGCTCAAGCACCATGATGAAAGAAAGAAAAAGAAAGGAAGGAAAGAAGGAAGGAAGGGAGGGAGGGAGGAAGGAAGGAAGGAAGGAAGGAAAGGAAAGGAAGAAGGAAGGAAGGGAGGAAAGGAGGGAGAGAGGGAGGGAAGGAAGGAAGGAAACTAGGAAATGTAGAGACTAGCCATGATGAGTCCTAGAAGAGAAATAGAAAGGGAAAGAATAAATGCATTGGGCTGGGAAGGTGGCTCAGTGGTAGAGCGCTTGCCTTGCATGAATGAGGCCCTGGGTTTGATTCCTCAGCACCACATAAGAAAAAAGAAAAAAGTCGGAAGTGGCGCTGTGGCTCAAGTGGTAGAGCGCTAGCCTTGAGCTGAAGAGCTGAGGGACAGCGCCCAGGCCCAGAGTTCAGGCCCCATGACCGACCCCCCCAAATTAAATAAATAAATAAATAAATGCATACAAAATGAAGGAGGATGAAGGATAGATGGATTCATGCCCAGATGTGACCACAGATGGCCAGATGGATGTGTGGACAGATGGCTGTCTTGATTGATGACTGGACCTGTAGATGGATGGATGAGTGGGTAGTGGGTGACAATTGTGGCCAAACTTGAACTATTCTTTCTGTTACCCTAGCCATACAGAGAAAGTCTCACTGCAAAAGAAAAGATTTCTGGTCTCATTTCAGCAGATACATTGTAAGTATGAATGATGGGATTCTAAGAAGTGTGGGGAAAGTAACACTGAAGCACTTCTAAGTGGAGAAAAAAGCAATGCAAAATAGTTTCTTCCTCAACCCCACCCCCCATTTTATTTGGAGCCTTCCATCTCTATTAATCAACACAGTCAATATTTCCAACTGGCGCTCACCAAACCCACACGCTTTTATCTTCCTGAATAATACCCTGATTCACACAAGCACCCAGAATGGAAGGTTGTATACTTTCCATTCTCAATGAGCCAGTGTCTTAAAAAAAAAGATATATATTTAGGGTTTTCAAAAGAGATAATGAGCAATTGCTAATAATTATTTGAAGCTATTAGAATTGGTCCCTGCACAATTAATGCTACTGCTGAATCTGGATAATACCGGAAAGATAATTTAAGCTCATTGCATGGGTGACTGCCTGAATGTTCTCAACAATAGAAGCGAATTTTCAGACTTACAGATGGAACTCCCCCCCCCACCCCACAATCCAAATTCAAGCAAATTAAGCTTCCATGAAAGGACAGTGTCCTGTGTATTTCCCAGAACACTCAGAACAAGGGGCAGATGTTTTCCTGGGAGTAAACAAGTTTGCAGGAATCTGGCCTGGCTCCCAGGAGCTCTGTAAAGGGCCAATGTGTAGCACCAACTCAGAGACCAACCATGGCCACTCTCAGAGTCCTGGCCTGTATTAGGATCTTGTGGTTGCTGTAACAAGTAACCACAAGCCCAGTGAAATGGTAAACCTGTATTTCCTAGAAATCAGAAGTCTACGGTCAAGGTTAGGTTCTTTGGGAGGTTTCGTGGGAAAGTAAACCCAGGCTTGGAAGGCTGCTTTTGCCCCTTGGTACTCCTGGTTTGTAGTACAGTGGGTAAGCACCGTTTACAACAATTTCTCATCTGCGGCTAAACAGGTAGGAGGGAGCAGTTAGGATGTTCTCAACACAAATGAAACATGTTATGGGCCGTGTGTGTGTGTGTGTGTGTGTGTGTTTGTGTGTGTGTGTGTGTGTGTGTGTTCCTAGGACTTGAACTTACTGCCCAGGCACTGTCCCTGAATTTTTATACTCAAGGCTAGCACTTGAGCCACAGCTTTTTTTTTTTTTTTTTTTTTTTTAACTGGTTACCTGGAGGTAAGTCTCAGGGACTTTCCTGCGCTGGCTGGTATCTAACCGTAATCCTCAGATCTCAGCCTCCTGAGTAGCTGGAATTACAGGAGTAAGCCACCAGCTGCTGGCCCGCACTCCCGTTTTTAAATGCAGTCGTATGGCTGGAACCACAGAAGTTTATTCTCTCACAGTTCTGGAGATGCTAAGTTCAAAGTCAAGGCTTCTCTCCTTGCCTTGTGCATAGGTGTCTTCTCCGTGGGAAGTTTGTCTGCTAGATGTTGCTTCTTACAAGGATGCCAGTTGGGTTGGAATTAGACCACTGTGATGAGCCCATTTTTGCCACAATTGCTCCTCCCAAAGCCAATTATCTGTCCCGTTCCGAGGTAGATCGAAAAGTGGGGCTTTGGCGGTGTATCCATTTGGGGGTGGTAACACAACTCAGTGCAAAACAGTAACAAAGCCAAGAACCTCCCCGATTTCAGAGTTTCTGGATAAGCTCAACATGCCTTGGAGGAGTGTGAGGCCCCTGTGTGGTTTGCTGTCACCCGCATCGCTTTGTGGCGCCATGATGTCCTCTTGTCTGGTCGTTCTGAATTACGTCTCTGCCACTCTATTTGCACGCCGAGAATCCTCTAACAGATGGCCCATCCGCTCTGTCTTTAAACAGCTTATGGAGGTGCAATGCTGGGCAATGAACCACACTGATGAAGCCCGGCTGTCTGGGAAGCTTTCACAGGTGCGTACACCTGTCACACCATCACCAACATCTAGAAAGAGACATACATCACCCCAACGCTTCCCCTGGTCCTTTATCCTCTGTTCCCCCCACCCCACCTCCTTTCCCCCCCACCTGACAAACGCCGGTGAGCTCTCCGTCATTACGAGATGCTTGGTATTTTCTCGAATTTTCTGTCAACAGTCATAAAGTATAGGCCCCTCCATGGGCCCAAGGTCACTTTGTGCATGTTTTTTTTTTTTCTTATTTATTTTTAAAAATTATCCTTAAGTGCTTGTACAAAGGGGTTGTCATTCAACATGCCAGTGTATCAGCATGATGCAGCTCGATCAGTATCTCACCCCTTTTATTATTCTCCCCCATTTGGCTCCATTTTCACATAAGGACATTGACCAGCAAGGCTGCATTGGCCTGCCCTTCCTTGTCCCATCCACCGGCCTCCCCCTCTTAACTCCCCCCCACCCCAAAACACTGTGTCAGTACACATTCTGTAAGTTAGTTGTTCAAAGGAGTTACACCATTGGCATCCTGCCCTGCATCCATGTTCTACACTCATGAACACGTTTGTGTGTAGCTGTGTGGATTCAGAGTCGCTTTAGAAGAAGCCGCATGGGCTGCCCACCTGTGCAGCCAGACGCCACAGAGGAACTCATTCATGCTGCCGGCACTGCTGAGGTGCACCTGCCCTGGGTAGCACAGGTCTAAGCAGCAGCCATAACTCGACAGTGCCACGGCCTGCCTTTGAACCCTGCCTTGGACCATCCTTCAGATGCAGACTTGGTGCAAGTTTCAGAACTTCCTGCGCCTCAGTTGCCCCACCTGTGAAGAGTACAGTATTCAGGGTGAAGAGCACCTACCAGGTCGTAAGCTCCCCTTAAGTGGCATCCCTGTTACTACCCAACCTCTTTGGAATCCGAGTCTCCTTGTCACTATTACCAGAAATAGCTCTGGATGGTGGGATGTCATCTAGGACGTAAGGTTACGACTTGAAAGGAAGGTGTACTTCTGCAGAAGGAAGTGCTATCGGCCAAAGCACACAGCACACAGAGCAGGCAGGCTGCTCCCTTTTATCCTTAACCCTGCAAGCCCCTCCCCTCTGCTCCCATTGGCTGAGCTCAGGTTCACCACCTGCAAAAGGCTGTGGCTCAGTGAACATGATGCCACGAAAAGTCAAGGAGCTTCTAACAGGACGTCTTGATCAAAGTGCTCAGGAGAATCAGGACCAGGACGGACTGTCTGTAACTAAAATGTAATTAACAAGGGCCAAAGCAGGAAACCTTCAGAAAAACAATTCTCTCAAGATTCACAGAAAGGAAGAAAACTACGCTGATCAAAAAGACGATTCTCCTACGCTCTGGCAACCCCAGCAACCAAATGGATCACAGGAAAACTCTCCTTTGAGGTCCTAAAAGTTTACAGCCCCAGTGTTGCTTTCTGCATTCTGCTTTGAAGACGCCTTCTTCACTAACATTGTTTCAGACCAAAGGGCCTACTCCTACCAGAAGCATGAATGAAAATAGAATAGGTATTAAAAAAAAATCCATTGGGGCAATAGACATGTCCAAAGGAATAAAGGTAAAATCAATTATTGTGGATGTGAGGCATCTACTAGCATGTTGGTGGTATGAGTTGAGGACTTTGCAGAGAAAAGCAAAACAAAAATGTAAGATTCCCCTCCCCCATCCCAGTGTTGTATAGCTGATATGGAACCTTGCAATGATTAACTTTATGTCCAGGCAACCTTGTCTTATTAATATTCTTCAACACATGGTGCCTCTGGGAACCTCACCAAGTTCAATGGTAGTCTGAAGCTTTGAAATATCCAGGGCTGAGTGGGCTGTCTTTCAGGAATAATGAGCTTTCTGAGCTCAATCTGCTTGGTGTGTTTTCTACATCCCACATGATGGCTCCGTCAGCTGCCTCTCCCCCACGCAGCTCCTCGTCGTCAGGAACAGGAGATTGCTTGCCCTGAGACAGACCTCAGAGGCTTGAATGGTACTGACAATCTTGCATTTGGGTCTATGGCTGTATTTTGAGATGGAATCCTCTAGCTCCATCTCTCTTGTCCTGTCTGAGAATCTAAATAGAAATAACCACAGACAAGCAAGTTACCAATGACCCGAGAACCAGTGCACCAATGGGGTCAAAGATTTGGGCTTCTTCCTTGTCCACTCGAGACTCAGTAAAGTAGGATGGGATGATTTGAGGTGTCTGTCAATATGTCTGGATTTGAGCTCTAGCCTTAACTGCCCAGCAAAACAATGGGCCAGGTATTGGGAATGGAGAGACTTATGGATACCAAGCATGGGAGAGACAAGAAGACAGAGCTGGGTGTCTGTGGTGCACACCTGTGGTCCTAGCTACTCAGGAGGCTGAGATCTGAGGATCATGGTTCAAAGCTAGCCAGGGTAGAAAAGTCTGTGAGACTCTCATGTCCAAATAACCACTAAAAAGCTAGCCGTGGAGCTGTGGCTCAAGTAGTAAGAGAGCCAGCCTTGAATGAGACAAAGCCAAGTGACAGCATGAGGCCTGGAATGGGGGGAGGGGCATTTCCATTCTGCCTTCCTGAGTTCCTTTCCCAGATACCCAGAGTCTCCTCTTGATGGTACAGTAGTCAGTTCACAATTCCACAGACACGGACCTTCGTAGCCACTCGGTTATTGTCTGTCCAGGTTCGCTTGTGATGCACCGTCCTGTGTTTAGAGAATACATGAAGCGAATATTTCCAGAGTTTGTTTCTTATGGTTTTGTGATTTGGGTTTGGGACTGTTTCCAGTCTAATTAAGATGGTGCGTGACTGACATCCCCAGGGTCTCCAAACCATCACCCTCCTCCAAGCTCCTCCCCCCTCCCCTCCCCCTGACCCCCGTCCGGCTCTCCTGTGCTCTGACCTGCTGTGTCTGCTGATGTGGGCTCTGTGCGGCCTCTCTGTGTAGACAGACGTCTGGGTAATCATTTGAGTCCACACTGCTGCGCCCACCGCCAGCAGGTGATCTCTGGAACAGAGGTGACCTCGGAGGGGTTCAGTAGTCAGAAGCCGGAGGTAAAATGGGGACTCTGTGACAGCGCTGGGGCTAGCACTGCGTCTGTCTGAATGATTTTACACTGTCTACTGTTTCACCACCACCATTTTTTTTTTCTTGATACTAAGGCTTGAACTCAGGACCTGGGCGCTGACTCAGAGCTTTTTCACTCAAGGCTTAGCCATTCTACCGCTTGAGCCGCAGCTCCACTTCTGGCCTTTTGGTGTTTCATTGGAGATAAGAGTCTCACAGACTGCCCAGGCTGGCTTTAAATTGCGATCCTCAGATCTCAGCCTCCTGAGTAGCTAGGATGACAGGTGTGAGCCACCGGTGCTCCTACCGGACTTTATTTTCGGCGTCACACTGCCATTTGTTATAACCCTGTGTTTGTGTTTGCTTTAAGGCCGGCTGTGTACAGCCAAACTCATTATTTCATGTAGGGCCTTCCCTGGGAGAAGCCATTGGGAAAGAGCTTGGTCTCAGCGTGGAAGCAGCAGCCCTCTGCAGACCAGCTGCTGGCAGAGACATGGCCGGCCACAGCAACAGGAGAGCAGGCTGCGGGGAGCTCACACTCAGCCTCAGGCCCAACCTCACTGCTTTGAGACCTCTCTCTCTCTCTCTCTCTCTTCCTCCCTCCCTCCCTTTCTCTCCCTCTCTCTCCCTGTCTCTCTCTGCCTCTCTGTGTCTCTTGTCTTGCTTGGTCTGTGTCTGTCTGTCTGTCTGTCTCTCTCTGTCTCTCTCTCTCTCTCTCTCTCCCCCTTCCCCCCTCCCCTCCTTCTCCATCCTAGAAGCCTAAACCAGGCTTGCAGGGTTGCTGGGAAGATTTGATAAGGTGATAGATGGAGAGACTTGGTTTTCAGTTTGAGCTCAGTGAATGGTGCTTGCTGCTGCTCTTCCTGACATGTCACTCTTGTAGCTGGGGGCCAGGGGACCCACACTCTCCCCGATAGGAAGGGCCGCAGAACTAAGGCGATTGTGAAGGGGTGGGTAAGCCAGGCATCCGGGGGCTCATGCCTCTGATGTTCAAAGCCAACAAGGGGCAGAGAAATCTGTGACTCAGTTCCAATTAGCAGACCAAAAGCAGAAGTGGAGCTGTGGCTGTGGCTCAAGTGGTAGAAGCATCAGCCTTGAGTGAAAAAAAGCTCAAAGCTAAGAGCATGAGGCCCTGAGTTCAAGCCTCAGTACTAGTACCCAGAAAAAGAGAGAGAGAGAGAGAGAGAGAAAGAGAGAGAAAGAGGAGAAGGAGGAAGAGGAAGAAGAGGAGGAGTAGAAGGGAGAAGGGAGGAATGGAAGGGAGAGAGGGAGGGGAATTTCTGTCCTTCATTTGCCCAGAGTAGAATGCTGATTTACAAAGACAGAATTTCAGCCTCTCTTGACCAAGGAGAGAAAAGGTAAAAAACAAACAACAACAACCGCTCCCCCCCCACAACCACGAAGTCAGCGTTAGACCCCTATTAACCCAGAAATCTCCCCAGCAAGCTTTTCTAACCTCCTTGTGTCTGCAATAAATGTAACCTCCCCCAGCTTGCCGCCCCTGGGGATGGAAGGTTCTTTCCCTGCGTCCTGTCACTCCTGAGCAGCGTGGAGGACGCTGTGCACGCAGGAGCTCCAGGGCGTGCTTTTATACCTTCCCGTGTGTCACGTCTCTCCACGTTCCAATACCCTTCTGTCGAGATTGTGTTTTTCTCTTCTTAATCTGTCTCTTGTTGCAGAACTCCACACTAAGCATTTCTGAAGACTGCACCAAAGATTGTTTTTTTTTCTTCCTCTCTCATTACTGACCATTGCAACTTCTTCCAGGGACAGATGTGTGGCCCAAATCCAGCCCTGGGCTATTTCTCTAACCAGCCTTTGCTTTGGGGTCCTTTTCCTGGTATGTGCCCCCCTCCTCTTTTGATTTTTTAGAAGTTATAGCTAACTAATTTATGTTACAGAATTGACAATTGCCTCAAGTGGTCTGGGGACAAGCCAGGCTCGAGTCACTACAGTATGAGATTAAATGACGAAAGTCTGGCAGGCTCTAGAAATTTCGATTTCCAGCGGTCAATTTAGAAATGTGGGAAGATGGGACATCTCTACAGAGGCTTCCCAGAAAACGATTGAAAAATGGCCACTCTTTGGAAATGAAAAGAATCTGGATTCCGGGTGGAGCCTTCGAGCGTGACTGCTGTCTGTCCTCAGGGTTTGAGTTGAGCCAAGTTCTTACTGGGCCACAGGAGGCCAGTGGTCGAAGTTTTCAAGTCAAGGTTGTTTGGCTCCTGTTCCTGCTCCTTTGTTTCCTCTTCCCTCTTTCTGTGGCCTAGATTTCTTTCCATCCAAACATCACAAAACTCTGGTGGATACTAAAGGCCCCACCTAGTTTTCAAACAACCACGAGAGCTAGCTTAGACTTCAGTTCTAATAAGGATACTGGATCTACCTGGCGCCATCTTGGCTTCATGGTGGATGAAGGTGAAGTCCCACCTCCAGGGGATAGGCATGCCTGAATTCCTAGAGTCAGGGGCGGGGGCTTGGACAATAGGTTACTGGACCTGCCAGGATTATACCATGAATTCTTTTACTCTTGAGTGTCCTGGGACCCTGCCTCCTTACCATGACCCCCTTGAGACCCTGACTACTTCTGCTGTTTTACACCATGCCTCATGTCTCCTGACTCCCCTCAGCTCACCCTGGAGTCCCTCTTCAGCTCTCCGCTGGAGTTGATTTGGTTTGCCCGGACTGTCTCTCTGCTTTCTTTGCTCTGCTACCCTCACGGCTCAGTTTCCTTACAGCATTAAGTACGTTCAAGGCTGCAAGTATTGGGGGGACATGTGTCATGCAGTCACCAGCTTTCTAGTAATATCTCCCGAGTTGACCTCTCAGAATGTGTCTTCTCTGTACCTGGTGATCGAGTTCCCGTAGAACACAGTGACCCTGGCCGGGTCACCTCGCTTCTCGGAACTCACGTCTCCTCACTTGACCTCTGCATCGCCTACACCACAAGAAGATAATGTCTTCCCCGTGTTGATGCCTCCAGACCCTCTGGCATGGGTTCAAAAAGAAAATAAGAGGTGTTTTGGTTTTTTTTTTTTAAATTTTTTTTAGCTTCCAGAGCCTGGACGAACCCAATTTTAGATATATATTTTCCCCCCAAATCAGGGTTGGTTTACACGCCTGTTCTTTTCCCAGTGTCACCTCATTCTTGAATCAGCTCAGGGCCCTTCCATCACGAATACCGCTGGGTTCAATCCCATTATGATAAACTCGTCTCTGCTGAAAGTAGATGATGACAAACTGTATTGTAAATAAATGGCTCATCAGCAGAGGGGGTTGTGTGCGTGGGTGTATGGATCTGTGCACCCCAGGGGGTGCACCCTCCTAAAGACACAGGGAGACTAGCCGCGGGCTGCCCCGAATCCACAAAGCCAAAGACTTCCACTATCATATGAAAAATCCCGAAGTGTTGAGCCCTAAGACACAGCCCCCCCAGTCCACTCTGCCCCTCTCACCGCTCCCCATAAAAGGGCAGATTTCAGGTGAGCGAGGGGGGGGGAAACCCCAGCTTCCTCAGGCTAAGTCAATCTCCTCAGAGTCTTCGTTGCCATGGTGAGCCAGAGGGCTGTCTGGCCATCGTTGCGGGATTCTGTTGGCTGGAAGCCAGTCTCAAGGAGGAGACGCAAGCACTCGGACGCCAGCCTGCGACAGCCAGGGCTCGCCCAGCTTTCAGCCTGCTGCACTTCGGTCAACACAGCTCTGGGAAATAGGGTGCTTTGTGAACCCCACTGTGCCCAACAAGCATTAGCACTTAAATTCCTGCAAAGGTTGCTCAGGAATTGGGGAGTCAAGCCTGAGCAGTCACCTCTGGGGTCCAACAACAGTAAGTTCTGTGAAGAAGCTCTTTCCTGCATTTCCCCCCAAGAAGTGCCCACCCCCCCCCGCCCCCCCCCAGGCTTCCGATGTCCGAGGTTACACGGGCTGCTTATGATGCGTGTGCCTGACCTGTGATCAGAAAATATGTTTAGAACGAGAGAGAATCTGAACCATACTGTCCACAGCCTTCATTTCTGTACACGGAGAAGCAGATCAGAGGAAAAGCTCAGAATACTAGTAAGAAGCCAGAATAAGACTGAAGAAAGAGCAGGCATTCTGCTTGTGTGCCTTCCTTCCTTCTTTCCTTCCTTCCTTCCTTCTTTTCTTCCTTCCTTCCTTCCTTCTTTTCTTCCTTCCTTCCTTCCTTCCTTCTTTTCTTCCTTCCTTCCTTCCTTCCTTCTTTTCTTCCTTCCTTCCTTCCTTCCTTCCTTCTTTTCTTCCTTCCTTCCTTCCTTCCTTCCTTCCTTCTTTTCTTCCTTCCTTCCTTCCTTCCTTCCTTCCTTCCTTCCTTCCTTCTTTCCTTCCTTCCTTCTTTCTTTTGTCCTTCTT